GCTGGGAGGAGATGATGGCTGACCTGTGATGGTTCACGAGCTCCCTGGGAAGCAGCAAACCTGTTCCGGCCCCCTCTGGTCTGCCTGCTAGGCCAGCTGGAGAGGAGAAACTGCTGAAAGGGAGCCGGCTCTTCAGGGAGCCAGCAGCCACTGCAGCCCAGAGAACTAAAAGCAGCTTCCCAGAGATGCGGGGGGAGCTCATAAGCCCCGTCCCCTCCCTTTATAGACAGTCTGGGGAAAGAGGAGTATTAATTTCCTATTATTACTATAACAAATGATCACACACTTGGTAAACTTAGTGACTTAAAACAGTAGAAAGTTATCATCTTACAGTTCAGAAGTCCACAGTGTGCCTCACTGGGTCTGCAGGGCTGGGCTCTATTGTGGAGGCTCTGCGGGAGGGTCTGCTTCTTGCCTTTTCTAGATTCTGGAGGCAGCCTCCCATGGCTCCTGGCCCCTTCCTCCATCCTCCAAGCCAGCGATCGCCATCGAGTCCCTCTCACACTGCATCTCTCTGACGCTGACTCTCCTGCCTCCTCCTTCACTTAGAAAGACCCTGGTCATTACACTGGGTACCGCCAGGTAGTCCAGCATAATCGACCCATTTTGTTTGTTTGTTTGTTTGTTTTGCGGTACGCGGGCCTCTCACCGCCGCGGCCTCTCCCGTTGCGGAGCACAGGCTCCGGCCGCGCAGGCTCAGCGGCCACGGCTCACGGGCCCAGCCGCTCCGCGGCCTGTGGGATCTTCCCGGACCGGGGCACGAACCCCTGTCGCTTGCATCGGCAGGCGGACTCTCAACCACTGCGCCACCAGGGAAGTCGATCGACCCATTTTAAGGTCAAGTAGTCAGCAACCTCAATTCCCCTCTGCCATGTACCATAGTCACAGGCTCTGGGGATTAAGGTGTGGACATCTTGGGGGGTAGGAGGTGGAAATGAGCAACTTTTCTTCCTTTAAGGAAGAAAACGAAGCCTCCAGCCATGATAAGTAAGTAAGTGGGCCCACTCCTTGTTGAAGGAAGTGCCAGAGAACACAGGACCTTTTCTGTCTAGCTCACTCTTGTAACCCCAATACCTGTCAGAGCGCCTCACACCTACCGGGCAGTCAATACACGTTGGTTGAAGAGTGTGTGACACTAATAATATTTGTTAACTTTGTGATCATGTGCTGGACACCGTGCTAGGTGGATTCTTACAACCATGCAAAAATGGGAACAGATGTCTGCATTTTCAAGGTAATGAAGCTGAATCTTAGAGAGGAATGAAAACTTGACAAACACAATCCAGCCTGTAATTGGTGGGGCACGGGTTCCAGCCGAATATGTCTGACTCCAAAGTCCATTAACGTGTCCTGTACCAGCCGGGTGGACACGCCTTAGTAAATGTCAGTAAATCTTCCTAAGCGATGATCTCATCCTCCAGCATCCCACATGCGCTCTCTGTGCTGCTAGTCCCAGGGTCCCAGTATCCCCCCAGAATGTATTTATCACTTCAGGCATTTACGCATGCTGATTGCCCCGTCTAGCATAGGAAGCACCCCTGAGACCGCCCCCAGCCAAACACAGTCATCAGGAGTCAGTAAACGGTGGTCTGCAGGCCATCTCTGGCCCACCACCTGTTTTGACACAACTCCAGCAAAGAACAAGGTTTTTACACTTTTAAATGGTTGAACAAAAATCGAAAAAAGAATACTGTTTCATGACACATAAAAATTAGATGCCATTGACATTTCAGTGTCTACAAGTAGAGCTTTATTGGAACAGATGCTCATCCGTTTACGTATTGTCTCTGCTGCTTTCACGCTACAAAGGCAGAACTGAGTAGTTGCAACAGGGACCAAACGGCCCTCAAAGCCTAAAATATTTGCTCTCTGGCTCTTTACAGGAGAAATTTGCCATCCTCTGATCTATCTAGAGCTTACAGGTCATTCAAGGTTCAGCTTGTTATTAAGGCTTCCCCAATCAGACCAGCCCAGATCACACCACACCAGATTGTCTCATCATTCCTGTCCCCTGTGAATTTTTGGTCCATTTTTTTCTGTCTGGGAAAAAACAAATTTTTTTGACTCATTCTATCTTCACTTTGAACGATTACTTATTAAAAGAGACGATATCGGGCTTCCCTGATGGCGCAGTGGTTAAGAATCCGCCTGTCAATGCGGGGACACGGGTTTGAGCCCTGGTCCGGGATGATCCCACATGCCGCGGAGCAACGAGGCCTGTGCGCCACAACTACTGAGCCTGTGCTCTAGAGCCTGAGGGCCACAACTACTGAGCCACGTGCCACAACTACTGAAGCCCGCGCGCCTAGAGCCCATGCTCTGCAACAAGAGAAGCCAGTGCAATGAGAAGCTCGCGCACCGCCACGAAGAGTAGCCCCCCCTCGCCACAACTAGAGAAAGCCCGCACGCAGCAACGAAGACCCAATGCAGCCAAAAATAAATAAATAATAAAATAAAGTAAAAATAAAAGAGATGATATTTATGAATTATAATACATGCAGAAATATTGTGAAAATGGTTATGCAAAAGCCAGGGACCAGTGTAACCTCTTCTAGATGAATTTCTCCTGCTTCATCATGCTATGCATCGTGTTGCTATGGTGTTCACTGTTGAACAGTTATTTGTAGAATTAATGAAGGGCTGTATGAAAAGCAAATTTCAAAGGTAGAGCCCAGCTTCGTTGTTTCCCAGTTCCGAATCCTCTGAGTCTTCATCTGATCTAAGTTCCAGTCTCCAGCCCATGTCTGGAGACTATGTCATTAGGCCCATGGTAGTACAATAGCCACTAATTAAATCTTAAACTTCTCTCACTGTCCTCAGCTGGATAAAGGCCAGCATTATTGATTGGTCCATGGGCATTCTTACCCTCCGTGGGAAAATTGTTGGCTGTTTCTCTCACTGGACAGAATTACTGAATGTGTCTTCTGTAGAGTAGAAATTACTGGCTGCATCTCAGTCGGCGAGCCTTTCCTCTCCAGGGGCAAAACTGTTGCCTGCATATATCTCTGAAGGAAAATTGCCATCTGCCTTACTCTGTAGGAAAATTGCCAGTTGTGTCCCCATTATGGGGAAATTGTCATACTGAAAAGCATGTCTCCATACTGAAAAGCATGCCAGCTGTGCTTCTGCATAGAAAAAATGTCAGCAGAAGTCGGCGATTTAAAACCCTCTGCGTGATTCTGAGTCTGTTCCTTTTTCATCCCCCTCCCTGGTTTCCTTTACTCTCCCTCTCATCTGCCTGAGTCATCAGAGCCACGGTGGTGGTGACATCATTCAGCACCAAATGAGAGACGCGTGTACCGAGGAAGGTGTATTACAACTGATGGTCCAGAGACAAACTACTGTGTGTCTGTGTAACGGCCCAGATAGAAGACCTAGAAATCAGTTTAACAGCTGGTAGCTCTCAAGATCTGACCCCAGTGGGAAAACACATCAGGCTTTTGGACTCACTGTACAGCAAGCTTGCCTTACGCAGCACCCACTTCTGCATTGTTGCTGCCTCCCCTGTTATTCTGGGTACACGTCCTATGCTAAGTGCTTGACGTGAAAGATCTCATCTGTCCCACAACCGCCCTAGAAGGTAGAGACGCCTCTTATGTCCATTTGACAGATAAGGAAAATGAAGCTTGGAAGAAGGAGTCAAGCCACCTGTCCAAGGCTTCATAACTTATAAGCAGCAGAGCGGGATTTCTACCGAGGCCTGCTGAACTTGGAACCACCTGTGTGCTTAGCCCCCGTACTGAATGGGATGGAGGCCTTGGGTCGTCCTCCTGACCGTCTGAGTTCCTGTGCAGTGTCCAGTGTGAGTTCCAGAGGAAGGAGCCCACCCAAGGTCAGCCTTTACCTGTGGTTTCCCTACTTTCTTTCTTCTGCTGTCCCAGACTCCACACCCAGCACACTGCATGCTTCCTTTCTAATTTTGCCCCACTTGTAATAAATGTAGTTTTAGCTTTAGCTTCTCTAAAGTCAGCAGTTTTCTTCTTAACTCTTCCTCTCTCCTATTTGTGATTTCACCTCTTTCCCATGAGTTTCCGAGACCTCATTCATGTAGCCAGTCATCTGAACTGGCTCAGGTGAATAGCCCTGTGCCAGGCACCATGAAGGATAACGTCAAACACAAGATATCTTCAGCTCCGTGGAGAGGTATTCATGTCTGTACATGTTAGAACACAAAACATTGTCTGTACAGGACACCTAATATAGCCTATAGGATTTGAAAGGAAGTGTCACTAGCACTGTAACCCAAACTGTATTCTGGGGAACTCCATTCTAGAGAGACACTGGCTGCGATTTTCTAAAAAAATAAAATGGAATGGGGAAGAGGGCGGTGGTGTGATCCAATAAGATCTGAAATCAGGAGTAAGGCAGTGGTTCTCAACCAGGGGCAACCATGCCCCGCTGGGGGACATTTGGCAATACGTGGAGCCATTTTTGGTTGTCCCCGTTGGGTCATGGGGCTTAGTGAGCTGAGGCCAGGGATGTTGCTAAACACCCTACAATGTCCCAAACTTTCTGGCCCCGAATTCAGTACTGCAAAGGTTGAGAAAGCTGGATTCCTAGATAAAGAATTTTTTTTGTTGTTTACCTGCAGGACTTCTCAGCACTTTTTTTTTTTTTTTTTTTTTTTTT